AAGTATTAAACATATTCGATTTCCTTCTGTGTTAACAATGTGTCTGTTTTGATTTAAAATGAAAAATAGAAAAGATTTTATATCTTTTGAAGGATGTAATGTTGAAATTCTCGTTCATTTCTAAATCCCATAGGATTGTAACAAATTCTTTTATTATATTGTAAAACTAATCTAAAAGTACATCAAGTTCGATATCAATATAAAGCCTTTTAACTTAATTTACATGATAGCGTATCTCAATTTTCAATATTAAAGAATTAATAACGGTTGAATTATTCAATTCATCTTAATTCATTGATAAATGATAAGAATTACTTTAGAAAGAAATTTTTATCATAATTGTTTTCTTTTGAAAACATGTAAAGAACTCATCAACCGAAATTATTCGAATATAATAATAAGAATTTTCATGAAAATTAAAATAAACGTTTATTTTGTTAAGTTTTATTTTATTAATTATATGAACAATTTTCAAAATGTATCAAATAGAAATTAATTAATATATTATCTACTTACTAATTTCTCTCCATCTTTACTATTTTTAGTTGGTGAACGTGTTGAATAACAACTTTCAAGAAAATAAACTCCTTGTGGTTTAGTTGAATTAACATTTTCATAATAAAAAAGTAAATTTTGATATAGAACAAACCATTTTAATTGCCATTTATTTGGTGATGATGATGGATCTTGTCCACCACGTCTTGATAAATAACCACATTCACGATTTTCTAATCGTGCTTTTATTGCTAAATTTAATAAATGTTCTTCATTAACTTTAAATGATGTACGTGTCATTAATATAGTTTGTAAACTTTTTAAAGGTAACCAAGAATCAGATGAAGCCATGCATGAAATTTCTAATCCACAATTTATTATTTCGACACACAAAAACAAAAAAAAAATCAAATTGTATGAATATTTAATTAATCCATGTTTTAGAAAACCATACTATATCTATAATATAAATGCGTCTAAAATAATTATAAAGAGACTAAATAGATTTCAATGATAACATTTTTATCTTCTAATCTTCCCATGTGACAATATTTTTTCTAATATATGCTTTAGTCTCAACAATTAAATTATACCATGTGATAACAAAAAAAAAAAAAAGGAGTAGGCGAAATATAATTTAATATAAGCACATATTTAATATTAGTTAATGACATATGATTGATGTCCTTACTACTATGAAAAAAAAAAAAAGTAATTCTGGCCAAAAAGGTTCTTTTTTTATAACTCACACATATTCTCTCAATAGAACCACTCAACATAGAGACAGGAAACAAGAGAAAAAGATAGAATGTATGCTCACATTACGTTGATGAATTGACTAAAATGTCATGAACAGCAAATAAATGCATAAACATGAGCAGTTTTTTGCTTTATGCAAGAGTTTAATTTGTGTATGTCGGAAATGAAGTGGAATCGGCAACAGTATTTCCCAGGTTCCCTTTTTTTTTCTTCTTCTTCAAAAGAAAACTTACGGGTTAATGTCACTATAATAGTCAATGGTTTTAGTAGGCAATTAACAGGATAATCAACGAACAAGTCGGGTATAATTCCGTATTTAATCGAACAAACTACAAATTAGAGATTATTGCGTTCTGTTATAGTGACTTTACTCACATATAATCTCATATCAGATAACTGACTTTAGAAGAAAAAAAAAACCTCAGCTCTTATTTCCTAAAGAATTATAACAAAAAGAAATAGTAGTCATATGTATAGAAAAAATAATCATAAATATTACTGAATTTAAATGAAGAAAGTCAAGACGAGAATCTTCAATCAGAAGCATAGTCATGTTATTTCCGGTAGAATGAATTACATTGATTATTTTGATTGTTATCAAGCAAAGTTTTTAATTAGAAAAGAAAAAAGGAAATATAAATATGGGTATTTTCTGTATTTTTATTTTCTATAATAAAAATTCACTGAATAAAATAACAATGATAATAACTTTATAAATTAGTAAATTTCTCAAAAATTTCTTCTTAAAGAAAACAATGTATGAAAAATTTTTTCATATTAGAAGAGCTGTCAAATGTAGTAAGCGTTTTATATTTATTGTTAATATAAATGCACTTTGAGAAAATAAGAAAAGAAAAGAAAAAAAGAAAAAATGAATTAAAATCTTTTTTTTTTTTTTTTATTGTTGCTAACAATAACAATCAACAGATGAGGTGATATTTGACGTCAAAAGAAATTAAATTTATTTACTGTTTTGCCTTTTTCCGTGTGAAAAAAAAAGTGAGCGTGTATTTTGTACAATAATTATGTATTTATAGAGTTGAGCTGAAAATGATGAAATTGTTTGCATGACAAGTTCTTGTATTCTTTTATTCTTTTCAAGTATCCCATTGTAATTGAATATCATGTCATGAATAGGTTAACGAATTATTTCTTCATTTTTTTTTTTAAACGAAATGAATAAAGATTTATAATTACTTTGTATGATAAGATTTAACTGTGATTACTATTAAGTTATTAATCGTCTCTCTCATGTTTTTTTTTTTGTTCGGTAACCTTCATATTCATCAAAAAAACAAAAAGTCAATGAAGTAACTTACTTGATTATGTGTCTTCAGTTCCTCGTTAGAGTTTTGTTAATGAAAAGAAAAACTCATGCTGCAATCACGAATATTAACTATATTAATATATATTCTCTTCAACAAATAAAAGAAAATTAATAAAAAAAATTCATTACCGTCATCTATCATTCTTTCTTTTGCTAGTTTCTCTGCTTTCTTTCTTTTTTTTTGTCGTATATAAGAAAAAGAAATGCATGCAAACATATTAAAACAGAAAGAAAAAAATGAATGCCATCTCACACGTACTACTATTAATGATAATTACGTCTACATGAAACGCAGAAAAAAAAAAAGAAACGAAGAAGCTTCAACGTCATCAGAATTGTCATAATATTGAACAATAAAATCTGATGTGCATGTCAATGAGAACTACTTGATCCTTATATTTTGTTATTCATATTCCTATTCAAACTGAAAACAATTTAAAAACAAAATAATGTTCGAATAGAATTCTCAAAAAAAATGAATTATATATTATAAATGAAATATTGAAAGATAATAATTTTCTTATCGTTTTATGTTAAATTAGATTAATGAGTTTTGAATATACCAAAAAAACTATATCGACTAAATAGCACATTTTTGCAATGATAAGGATACGACATTCTACTTCTATTTCATGTTCATCTAATATCACTATTTTTATTAGTTTATTCTATACTCTTTTTGAGAGTATTCATTGCATGTCTACAATCAAATTATCGAAGTTTTCTTTTGACTTCATCGATTGATATTATCACTTTTAGAGTATCTAAATCAACTCAATCTAAGAGTATAGTTATATTTTAATATTGATTGTCTCAAGTGAATATTCTTTGTTAATCATAGTATAATTATTGATTGAAAGATAATTCAAAATGAGACCATTATGTATTAATGAGATTTATAAATAAACTTTGTTCATAATCAATTTATTTATTTTCTTGTTTAACAATCATACATACACCCATCCCGGTGAGATAATTTTATGTACAAACACGTATTAAGTAAAAGAAAAATGTTTATTTATACATCTGACTGAAGTAAGAAATAATAAAACAAACAAGTAAAGTTATCCATCGAATGATTTCTAATGAATTTTTATATTTAACTCATTGAGAAATATTTGTTTTTCATTTTAAAAATGAACATCAGGTGTATTATTAGAATTTGTATTTGTTCCATTTGTAACTCCGGCAAGTACATCACGACTGATTTGTTTCATTAATTCTTGAGTTTTACGACGATTTCGACGGGCAGCATCAGCACGTAAATACGGTGCTTTTTTCAAATCTACATAAAAAAAATAGAAAGAAAAACTTAATTATATTCTGATAACAGAAATACAACTGATTCAGATTATTTCATTTTCTGAGTATTAATCTACTAGATTTTTCTCACAAAGATCAATATTTACATATGATATGATATGTTTTGAGAAACACATTAGAAAAGCTATTCCATCCATCGTAGTAATATGATGATATGGGTCATTTGTTAGTTTCCGTGACATGATTAGATTTTTAAAATCTCATTATATATGATATTTCATCTCTGGAAGAAAAGATCAAGGACGAGAGGATTCCATAAAGGACAGTTCGCCTCCTTTTCAGTACTTTTGAAGAACAGCTTATCAGACAATTTTGAAACTTTCAAAGTAAATAGATCTTGATGAATAGAGCAAAAATTATCATAGACCGAACATTTCCAAATGCTTCCTTCTAGGCGATATTAAAGTCGTAAAAGCTTTAAGTTCACTATTTCTTCTTGCCTAATCGTCTTACTTTTTTTTAGCTAGAATACATCTGATAGAGTTAAAATGATTTCTTTATTAAATAGATTACTAGATATTGCGTCCGATAACTAGATTTTTTTTTTCTTTCGTTTCATTTTATCACCTTTCAATCAAATAAAAAATATATCTTCAAAACTGCATGTTTTGTTTTTTTTTGTAAACCTTAACGAGAAAAACACCCCGCACTACATCATATTTTGAAAGATGAAAAAAAACAAACTCTCATTAAGCAATGGAAATAGAAGAGATTGGAGCGGAACGATTCTCAATTTTCTCGTTTCCGATCGTACAACTTTTATTGTTTTAATTTAAAAATTTTTCATTCACTAAGAAAGTAGAATGGATCCTATTAAAATAATAGTCTAACTTAAAGACTTAATAAAAACTAAATAGATAAAAGAAACACTTAAAATTTTCGTTCGTAAATAATATATCGAGGCAATAACAGTTATACTTTCATCAAACGTAATTATTTTAAAAAGCTTTCTAATGATATAACTACATCAGAATTAGTTGTCTTCTGTGTTCAAAAAATTAGAATTTTTTGTTTTATACAAAAAAAAACAAATTGTCATACCATCTAATAAAGTTTCAATAGTACCATCTGTTAACGCTTCACGCTTAATTAATTTATGATCTTTAATAGCTTCTTTACGTCCTTTTAGTTCATTCAATAATTCTTCCTAAAAATAAAATGATAAACATTGAAATATAGAAAAAACAAATTTAGTTTTAAAGCTGAGTGAAACAAAATAAATAAAAAAAAAAAAAAGCAATATAATAAGAATATAATTATTGGTTTTAAGAATAGCACGATAATAGAATTTTACCTGAAGTGTTAAAATATCATTTTCCTACTCGTTTATATTATTTTAATACTGATATATGTGATAAAAAAGAAAATAGAAAAATTTACCTGTGAGCGTTTATTTATTGGACGTTTATTAGTTGGTTTATCAATAGATAAAGCAGCTTCACGTGCTAAACGTCTTCGTTCTTCATTATCAATGCGTGCTTGCTAAACAAAAAAAATAAAAACGAATCGAATTCATTAAAAAAAAAATCATATTTTTTTTCGTTAAAATAATCTAACTTGATATGCTCGTTGAAATTTAACAAAAACAGAGAAAAAATTCGATGGATTTTGTGTACGTGGTGTTTCACCTTTAATTAAAAAAAACAAAAAGAATAATTAAATTATATATTAAAAAAAAAAAACAATTTACTTACCAAAATATTCTACACATTGATTAAATGAATCTTGTGCTAATTTAGCATCTTTGATTAATCGATCAATTTTATCTTGTGCAATATTAATAAAATCTTCTAATGGATTTGTTTCAACATTCTAAAAAAAACATATATATATATATTTAAATAAATTAATAAAATTTTCTCTTTTTTTTTGTTTGTTATTAATTTAATAAATTATTACTTTCATTGTTTGTCGAATAACAAGTTCTTTTTTTGCATTATCT